TAGAAAATCCACAGATTTGTTCACCAGCACTATTAGAATGTTTCCTTTCTCTTCAAATGAGCCCTGGGAGAGAAGTTTTAAACTAGAAGATTACTTCCATTTGAATAGTATGCAGATAAGTCTTCTAGGCTAGACCTTCGTAGAAGCAGTACACTGAGAGATTTTGGCTTTCTTTTTAACTGTGTCTGACCCTTGCCTTTGAGGCTTTGTAAAATAACTACTGCTGGTAGCCTTACACATTTCCTGCTCTTGTCAGTACATCTCACTTAGACCTTCTATCTGTAGACGATTATTTCCCCTCTTCAGTGAATGTTCTTTTATGTTCTTCAGCTTTTATGTTTTTTTCTCTTAAAAATATATTCAAACTGCAGTATTCTAGCACTTCTCATCATAGAATGGTTTGAGTTGGAAGGGACCTTTAAAGATCATCTAGTCCAACCCCTCTGCCATGGGCAGGGGCATCTTTCGCTAAATTAGGTTGCTCAAAGCCCCATCCAACCTGACCTTGAATGCTTCCAGGGATGGGGCATCCACAACTTCTATGGGTAACCTGTTCCCGTGCCTCACCACCCTAATCATAAAAAAATTTCTTCCTTGTACCCAATCTAAATCTACAGTCTTTCAATTGAAAACTCTTGCTCCTTGTCCTGTCACTACAGGCCCTGGTAAAAAGTCTTTCCCTGTCTTTCTTAAAAGCCCCCCCTTTAGGAATTGAAAGGCTACAATAAGTTCTCCACAGACCCTTCTCATCTCCAGGCTGGACAAACCCAGATCTCAGCCTTTCTTCTCAGGAGAGGTGCTCCAGCCCTCTCGTCATTTTTGTGGCCTTCCTCTGGACCTGCTCTAACAGGTCTATGTCTTGTACTGGGGACCCCAGAACTGGATGCAATACTCCGAGTGGGATCTCACAAGAGCAAAGAAGGGGATTCCCCTCCCTCAACCTGCTGGCCATGCTTTATTTGTTGCAGCCCAGGGTATGATTAGCTTTCTGAGCTGAAAGTGCTCGTTGCCGACTCATATCCAATTTTTCATCCATCAGTACCCCCAAGTCTTTCTCTGCAGGGCTGCTCTCAATCCGTTCATACTCCATCCTGTACTGATACTGAGGATTGTCCTGTGCAGGACCTTCCACTTGGCCTTGTTGAACTTCATGAGGTTCACATGGGCCTACTTCTCAAGCCTGTCAGGGCCTCTCTGGATGACATCCTTTCCCACTGTCCACAAACCTGTCGGGGGTGCACTCAATCCCACTATCTATGTCATTGATGAAGGTATTAAATAGTATTATCCCGGTAGTGACCCTTGAGGGACACTGCTCATTACTGGTTTCCACTTGGACATTGAGCCATTGGATGCAGACCATCCATTCTTTGGATTCAACCGTCCAGCCAAGTCCTTATCTATCTGATAGTTCATCCATCAAACCCATATCTCTCCAATTTAGCAGCCAGAATGTTGTGAAGGAGCAAATCAAAGGCCTTACAGAAGTCCAGGTAAATGACAGCCATAGTTCTTCCCTTGTCCACTGGTGCATTCAGTCCATTGTACAGGGCCACTAGATCAGTTGGGCACGATTTGCTTTTGGTGAAGCCATGTTGGCTGTCTTTAATCACCTCCCTGTTTTCCATATGCTTCAACATGCCTTCCAGGAGTCTCCGTCTTATGATCTCACTGGGCACTGAGGTGAGGCTGACTGGTCAATAATTCCCAGGGTCCTCCTTTTTACCCTTTTTAAAAAAGGATGTGGTATTGCCGTTCCTCCAGTCACTGGGGACTTTCACTGACTGCCATGACTTTTCAGATATGATGGAGAGTGGCTTAGCAACTACATCAGCCAATTCCCTGAGGACCCTAGGATGCACCTCACAGAGTCCCATGGACTTGTGTATGTCCAAGTTCCTCAGATGGTCTCAAACCTGATCTTCTCTTACAGTGCGAGGGACTTCATTCCCTCAGTGCCTACCTTGAAGTTCAGGGTCTTGAGAGATGTGGGAACAGTGATTACCAGTGAAAAGTGAGGCAGAAAGGTTGCTGCATACCTCAGCCATCTCCATGTTGGTTGTCACTAGTTCTCTTGTCTCATTTATGGGGGCAGAGAGAGGGATCGGGGGACAGGTACATTTTCTTTAATCTTCCTTTTCTGACCAACATACCTATAGAAGCCACTTACTGTTCTTTGCATGCCTTGCCAAATTGAGCTCCAGCTGTGCCTTAGCTTTCCCAATCCTGTCCCTACTCATCTGGGCAGTCTCCCTATATTCTTCCCAGGATACATGTCCTTGGTTCCACTGCCTGTGCATTTCCTTGTTATGTCTTGATTTAACCAGGAGGTCCTTACTGAGTCATGCTGGTCTCCTGCACTCCTTGCCTGATTGCTCATACATGGGAATTGTGAGCTCTTGTGCTCTAAGAAAAATGTCCTTAAAGAGCTGTGTCCTGGTTTGGCTAAAACAGGACTATTTCTGCTTTCAGCAGATTTTCGTTCAGTTGAATTTCTTCTAAGTAACTGCACTTTCTGAAGTTGACTACAGGTTTTTCAGACAGTGTCTGCTTTCAGAGTTGATGATATGTGATGTTTATGGTTGTTCCTAAAGTAATGGTAGGATCAGTATGCAGAAAGGCCCATGTTTATACTTATTCCTGCAGAAACCAAGTTCACTGCTGGCTTTCTTATGGTCCACAAGTGAAAAGGTATAAAAGGGCCGTGCCTGTGGAAAAGTGCGGATGGGACAGGTGACCAAAAACTGACCAGTGAGGTATTCCATCCTGTACACGTCATACTCAGTATAAAGCTATAAGGGATCATGGGGCTCAGCCCTTCTTCTTTCATGGCCTGCATCGTTGTGGGACCCTGCTCGTTCTCCTGCCTCTGGTCCTCATCCATGCATTCCTAAATCCGGTTCCCATCTGCTGTGGAGTCCAGGCCTGGACATCTGAGTGCCCACATTGTGGCATTGGCCATGTGAGCCACCGTGCACGCAATTCTGTGATCATCATTGGGAAGCTCAGTATTGGTTTTGTGTATTTTTAGTGCTATTATTAGTAGTATTAGTATCAATATTATTATACTTTTTTCATTGTTATTGTTTTATTAAAGTAGTTTTAATTTTCCAGCCTGTGTCTCTCGCTTTTCTCCTCTCCTTTCCCTTCTGGGGAAGAAGGGGCTTAATAGAGAGCATCTGCCGTCCACTTTAAGCGTTGGCCCAGCCTTAAATGGTGACAAGCTGCCAGCTCTATTCTGCTCCTTTATCCCTGAGGGCAGTTTCCTAGGGAGTCCCATCCATTTATTCCTTAACTAAAAGTTCAGTCTCCTAAAATTTGAGCATTTGTTTGGCCCCATATTCCTTGAGATTGTGAATTCCACCAGGGCATGATCCCTGCAGCCCAGGCTGCCACTGATCTTGATCTCTCCAGTTAGTTAATCTATGTTGATAAGCAACAGGTCCAGTAACAGTTCTCCTGTGACTGGGCTATATATCACCTGGATTAAGAAATTATCCTCTGCTCTCCAAGAGTCTCCTGGACTGCTTACAGCTTGCTGTGCTGCTTTTCCAGCAGATGTCAGGGTGACTGAAGTCCCACAGCTGGATCAAAGCCTGTGAGCGTGATGCTTCCTGCAGTTGAAGTAAGGACACTTCATCAACAGGTTCCCCTCAATAGGGTGGCCAGTAATAAACACTAACCATGAGGTTCACTTTCTTGGCTTGGCCTCTATTTTTCACCCAGAAGCTCTTGATCTGTTCATCCCTGTTTTTCAAAGACACCTCTGTGCAATCAGTCCACAGAGGGCAGATCACCTGCCCATCCTTCCTTGCTTGTCCCTTCTGAACAGTTTATAGCCATCAATTGCAGCACTCCAGTCATGCGACTTATCCCACCATGTTTCAGTAATAGCGATCAGATCATACCTTTCCAGCTCTGCAATCACTTCCAATTCCTCCTGTTTATTACCCATGCTACCTGCCTCAGTGTAGAGACATTTCAGTTGGGCTCTTGACCATGTCACTTTCTTAGAGGAAAAAGCCCTAATTCCTTTGAGGCATTTCACAGGTGTTTCCCTGTTGGTTCCTAATACATCAGCAGCCCCTAACTCTTCTTTGTTACTCAAAACTCCATCCCCTTCCCTCTCTAAGTCTAGTTGCTTCCACCTTTGAAGACAAAAGTATTCTTCAAGGTCCTCCAGAAAGACTGCAGATAGAGCACAACACCTGGCATTCCAATCCCGCTTTCTTATAAGACTTTCAATCTTGAGTTTCTCTCCACAGAGGTTTTACACTGATATCTTATCCATGTGGGTCAAATTTTCTGTAAAGTCTATTCAGTTGGGAGGACAAATTTTTCCTAAAAAAGGGGCTGGGATTTCTGTAAACACTTAGTCATTCCTTTCCCTCTCAGTACACTTAGAAAAAATGTAAAAGTATGCAGAACTCCTCTGGATACCTCAGGAATCCACCTCATCTTTCTAGTGAAGATTCAAGTCCTAAAAGAAATATTTATTTTGATTGCTTATGTTATCCAAGCAAACTAACTCACAGGGAACTGAGAAGCTATACAGCTTCTGAAGGCAGCAACTTGGACAATGGCTCATGGTGAAAAAAATAAAAAACTGAGAAAAGATGTAAGCTTGTCCTTGAATTATGTTCTCTCATGGTAGTCAGAGAAACCTGCAGTGGTTCTCCATGTTTGGGGTTTGACAAATTCTAGTGTCCCCTAAAAATGTATCAGAAAGGCAGCAGTCCTTTAGTATGAAAAAAATTCTGTGTTTTCCTAAGGGTTAAATCTTTCAAGGCAACAGGCAGTGTTTTCTTAAATATTATGATTTGTTACTTGTTCCTTTCTCTTTTTGTCTAATTGTCTGCTTAGCACTTGTGAAAGAATCTGATGTTCATGCTGCCTCTGAAGGGCTGTAGGGGGTTTTGGGTTTGGGATGGTTGGTTGTTTTCACTTTTGTAGTGGAACTGCTCTTCAAATTCCTTATTAATGAACTTGCTTGTGACGTCATGGACACACTCGGTGAGGTTTTGTCCCAGAGAATGAAAGTGTTATTTTTTGTGCAATTAAGGACTTTTGAGTATTTTTGGTAAAGATTATTACAGGAATAAGTTTGTCTGTCCTTATCACTTTGTCCTTCTAGATGAATTACTCTTTTAAGTAGATGTTGTCAAACAGTTCAGAAGTTCCTCAGATAGTTTGCCTATGGACTTAAAAGAAAATTTATCCCCAGTGTTGGTATTCCAGCTGTTTCAGTTTCTGAACTTCTGTAATCTGTGGTTATTTTTTTCTTCTGGAGTGGTACTCGAAAGAACATTTTCTGGCCTATTCTAAACTTTAAGAAAAATGTTCTATTTTCTCAAGTGTGTAGATTCTCCAGCTTCCTAACTCCAACTCTGAACTCTCAAATAGTCTTTCTAGTCTTCCTTGTCTTCTGATTCAAAGCCAATTACTTTTTTCAGATAAAATACTATTTCCAGAGAAGTTTGGAAGTACTCTATTATTTATTGTATTAGACTAGTTTAAGCTCAAATTCACTTCCATGGCATTTCTAGATGACTTCTGCACAGAACATATAAATGAAATGTTTGTTATTTTAATGTTGGAATTCTCTGGGCTGTGATCAAGTTCTCTTGTGAAGTCTTCTCTTATTTCTCTGGACCTTCTATGTGTTTCAAACATTTCTTCTGTAAGTGTTAATTCTGCTACAGATATTTATAGAATGGTTTGTTTGGAAGGGACATAAAAGACCATTTAGTTCCAACCCTCCTGCCATAGGCAGGGACACCTCCCGCTAGACCAGGTTGCTCAGAACCGCATCCAGCCTAGAGTTGAACACTTCCAGGGGTGGGACATCCACAACTTCTCTGGACAAGCTGTTCCTGTGCCTCAGCACCGTCACAGTGAAGAATTTCTTCTTTACATCTAATCTAAACCTTCCCTCTTTGAATTTAAAGCCATTGCCCCTTGTCCTGTCAATCCATGCCCTTGTAAAAAGTCCCTCCCCAGCTTTCTTGTAGGCCCCCTTTAGGTACTGGAAGGCTGCTAGAAGGTCTCCCCGGAGCCTTCTCTTCTCCAGGCTGAACAACCCCAGCTCTTCACAGGAGAGGTGCTCCGTCCCTCTGATCATCTTTGTGGCCTTCTCTGGACTTGCTCCAGCAAGTCCATTTCCTTCTTGTGTTGGGGGCCTCAGAGCTTTCTTCCCTCTTTCATACCTAGTTTAGGCTACTAAATATTTTTCTCTTGTATAAAAGCATTTTTTCTCTGACTGAGGAACCAATGCAAATGGTTTTGTTTCATAGTGGGGTTCATGGGTCCAAATTTCCAAGTGAGCTGAAACAGAGAGTTAGTGTTTCTTTGTGTGGAAACTAAACTGCTGCTGTGAAACAACTGGTGATTTGGCATTGTCTGTAGTCTCAGATTACTAATGCTTCTATCCAACTGTAAGTTTAATTTAAGGGGAAGAGAGCTATTCCAAATTGTAGTTTCAACTTCATTTGACTGTTACTAGTTACCTAACTGGAATTTCTTCATGGCTGTATTTAAGAATACTCCAACTAGAGATTGTGCAAGGCTCCGTCTGTAGTCAGTGTGCAGGTGTCATGTTGGGAATGGAAAAGGAGAAAATAAGAGAAGCTGTCGATAAGTCATTTTCTTTACTGCTTGTTTATACAGCAGAAGGAATCCCATTAGGCTAGATAGTCAAATACCTCATTGTAAGAAAAAAACATTTTGAAGAGGGCAGTGTTCATGTGCAGAAATAATTTTTTCCTGTAGATACAGTAATACACTTCTCTAAGATACATGGTATTTGACTTTTTGTTTGTTTTTGACAGGAAAAAGTGGCCCTGAATGCAAGCACTGTAGGGCTGATCCAGATAAGGAGTGCCGGTTTTGTTCATGTTATTTGTGTGGTGGGAAACAGGATGCTCACATGCAACTCCTGTGTGATGAATGTAATATGGCTTATCATATATACTGCCTGAACCCTCCCTTAAGCAAGATACCAGAAGATGAGGACTGGTAAATATACAAGAATGATTTACTTACCTATATTGCCATTCTGTACTTGGTACCTTTTTGATATTTGCACCTCGTGAGACACAATATTGGAGATTTTTTTAATTCTGCTGTGTTTTTCATCAGTCTGTTTAATATAAGCCTTATCTTTTCTGTCAAGGTAATTCTTTTAAATCATTCACAAAGTATTAGTAGTAAGCTTTAATGACCATTATGGACTTTCAAAATTGGCATGTTCATTTTATTCATTATGATCTTTATGATCTTCTGTGACATTATCTGATCTGATTGTGTTTTATCAACAGTGGTTTTTCTCCAGGCTTGTAATTTTGTTCAAGCTTCACTACTTGAACACTTCTCTTACTGTCACCCTAAAAAATCTGTCCCTGTTGGTGCCCCTGTGCCCTTCCTGTGTCTTCTCCTTGCCTCTACTCCCTTCATTTCTCCCACTGTGTGAGGCCCACCACTTTGCTACTCTTCATTTCTACTGTCCCTGGTTCTGCTAGCAGGAGAACCAAGCTAACCGGCATTGTTAAATCAAGATAATTGTAATTTGAAGTGAATCTGCATGGACCCATTAACAGCCCATTAAGTTATCTTGGACTCTGTATCGTTTTTTGTCTTTATTAGCTATCTACAATTTGCACGCTGTTCGTGTTTATCACCTGCCTGTGACTTAGTTGAGATGCTAATCCTTTATAAATTAGTATTATTCGGAACTGTATTCCAATGAATTTTTCCATTTCATGGACATCGATAAATGTCTAAGATGTCTATAGATACATTTTATGGAATCTTTGTGGACCTTGTGATTAAATTTTATGTAAAAATCGTGTAAGTCCTTTGGAAGTTTTAACATTCTCTGGAAATAAATAACTCAATCTCCTATACTATAGTGGATGCCATGGTAGGTTTGTTTATTGGTCAGTGCCTAATGGTATGCATGTTTTCTGGGGCATTGTGTTTTTTCTGAACTTGTTCGGTGTTTATGCCAATATGTGATTTGGCGATTGAGACTATTAATATTGATAGGTGCTTCTTAGTGTATACATTTGGCCACAGGGATACTGTTGTTGGAAGTTAATATTTTTCCCAAGAAATTTCTGCACTGGGTTTGGAGAACTGCTGGCTTAAAACACTGTCTAAAAAATATTTTCAGTAGCTACTAGAAAGGTGTATAGGTCACTGAAACTAAAAATAGCATTTATTTGAATATTGTCTATGTGCCTTCCACTTCTTGCATATGCAAAATGATTACAGTGTTTATACAACAGTGTTTATTACACAGCATGTTAGTCTGAACAAGTTTTCTACTGTCAAGGTGGACTGGTCCTCTGTGCATGACATCTTCTTCCTTCCTACTACTTGTCAACATAAGTGAGTTGATGTCACACATTGGAAACCATTCTCAACACACAAGAGGTTTATTACTCACTGCAGTCCATAAGCAGTATTCTTACCTGATTGCACCTGACCTTTGGATATAGGAGCTGAGAAGTTCTTTTTTGACTTCCTTCATTGAAAGTATTCAATGAGACCATCTGTCTGCAAGTAAACATCTGTTCGGTCCATCCATTCTTAAGTTGCCCCTTACTTTCAGAACCAGCTCTAATCCAGTACTCCAGCATCAGTAAAGTCCATCTGTTTTCCGGTACTAGTCACAGGAAAGTTTCTAATAAAAGAATGTATATGCTTCAAGTCAGTGACCCCCTCCCACAAAACCCCCAGATGCTTTGTTCTACCCTGAAAACAATTTATTCTCTCTAGTTTTTTCTATGCTCTCAAATACAGTTGACAGGTGCTTCAGGATACTGATACTGAAATCTCACCAGTCATCAGTGTCTCTTTGGTTTAGCTAGTGTACTAAGATTATCTTGGCCTGCTGGGTGCTTCACATGGTTTTTCAGATTAGGTATTAGTCTTCACTGGCACCTGTTCTTTTTCAAGAGCTTCTTATGAAACATTCTTATGAGTTATCCTACTTCTATTTCAGAGGGCTACAGAGCAAGTTTGAAGAATAGAAATTTTTTCAATGTGTAGCCATTACTGCTTAGATCTCCCTACCCTCTTCCAATAATATCACTATAATTGCACTGCATAGGTCCCCAGGACTGTTTTCCTCCATACAGAAGATTCGGTGCTCTGTAGACAACCACACAAGAATTAAATTGACTGACAACATGGTCTTTAGAGTCCCTTGGGTCATATGTTAAGTGTACTTTTAGACCCTTGCACTTACATTTCTGGCCAAAAAATTAGGAGTTTCCACAAGTAGTAAAGTGTAAATCATATAATTAAAATGTTGTGAAAAATTACTGCAAACTTCTTAACTTCTTTTTTTTTTTTTTCCTGTCTAGTGATATAAGTCTTAAGATTTATTCATGTAAGTAGCTAGTTGCATCTGTGGATGAAGTCACTGAGTGGGAGAGGTACTGTTACGGAGCTGGCTTGTGACAGTTAATTTTGGGATACTTAGTGATGTCAGCCCTGTGCAGTCTTAATGCTTGATCATATGTAGAAGGAGTGCAGATGCACTGGGCAAAGCAGTGTCTCCTACCAAAGAGGAGCGGTCTGTCTTCTCCCTTCTTCTTGCATACTAGCGAAGAGTCATGGCTGTCTGATCCTTAACTTCTTGACAGATTTTGTTTGTTTTAAAAGTGGAAAAAATTCCTTTTAGTAATTTTGTAGTGTAAAATTAGGCAAATTCTCTGCAGGGGCTAAGCCTGCATTTTGGAAAAGGATGATAAGTTTCTCTTGCAGAGATTAAGCCACTCTGTATGCGAAACAGTATTTAATATTCCACACAAAACTCAGTTTAAAACTTAATAAGGTAATACGGTTACCCTATCAAGAAGCAGGGAATGCAGTAGTTAATTCACCTTGTGAATTTGCATTATGTCATGTTCCTTCTCTTAATTGTTCATTGCATACTTTTTTTTTTAAAAACAACTGTGATATTATTCAAAGTCTTAATGTTAGACAATTTCAGCATCTTGTATTATTTTTAATTTCTTTTTGTCTATTTAGCTTCGTTGTCTTAATGTTTCAACACCTTTATTGACATAGTGAAATCTGTTCCTGTGGACATTAATCATTAATTATTCTATTCATATCCACATACAAAAGTTAATTAATAAATCCAAAACAGTAGTAGTAGTAGTGGTAGTTATCTAAACTAGCTTATCAATATTAGTGTAGATCAAGCTTCCTCCACTAGTGGTGTATGGGCGAAACCCAGCCCATGGGAGCCAGAAACATGGACAATTGCCTTTGCATGGAAAAAAAGTGGGTTAAAAATGTTGTTAGAAGCAGCAAAAAGACCAGTGTATTCCCTTTCTCTCTCTGCTGTAGTCACTGCATACTAGTATTTCCTACTGTCCTACCAGGATGGCTTTCTGTTAGCTGGAATGAGTCTTAGTGCTGTATTCCAAGTGGCTTCAGTGTTATGGAGTGAGTGAGTGTGTGCTTGCATGTGTGTGCGTATTTGTGTGTGTGTATCTACATGCATTACATGATACCTTGGCTTTGTTTGAAATTCAGCGATCTGCAGTGAAATTTATTGGACTGGCAGCAAAAAATAAGGGTAGAGTGGGAAGGACGTAGAAACAAACCATGAGTACTGGTTGGCAGCGTACTCTAATCTCAGCACTGTTCTCCTTTACGTGATCTAAATGAAAGAGGACAGAATGAAGAGAGAATACAGGAGACATGGGGACCTCTCACATATCGTGTGAGAAAGAATAGTTAAATGTTTTGCCTCTAGCACTCTACCTTCAAAGATACTGAAATGCCCTTTTAAAAAAGTTGACAGTATTTGTTTATGTTGGGTTCATTTTTTAAGCCATAGGCTTCAGCTGCTTAAAACTGGTATATGTTTGCTAGCATGAAGTATTCAGTCAAGATAAACAATTTGACACTATTTTGGCTACAAGAAATATATTGCCATTATTATGAAGTAATTGAGAATTTACTAAAACCTTTTTTTAGGTATTGTCCTTCCTGCAAAAATGATTCTAATGAAGTTGTAAAGGCTGGAGAAAAGCTCAAACAGAGTAAAAAGAAAGCAAAGATGCCATCTGCCAGTACTGAAAGCCAGAGAGACTGGGGCAAGGTAGAGTGTATTTTAGAAACAGCTGTTACTCTGATTGTTCATGTATGTGCTACATCTATAATTCTACTTATACATGCACTACACAAAATTCAGTACTGGATTGCACAGACAATAAGACAATGTTTAATCCTGCCCACTATCTACTGGCAGTTAAAGCAGTGGAAGAAGTATTAAGGTGACTAGAGGTAAAAACAAACAAAACAACCCCCTATCCCTCCCCAAAACCCATAAACACATATTACCTAATTAACATTCCTTTTACCAATTGTTAACATATGTTAAAGTATGTGTTTGTTATAATGATCAGATTTCTTGGTATTTGCAAATAGTCTTCAATATTATACTACTAATTCTTTTTGTCTGATGTATTTTTAGGGCATGGCCTGTGTTGGTCGCACTAAGGAATGCACTATTGTTCCTTCAAATCATTATGGACCTATACCTGGTGTTCCTGTTGGGACAACCTGGAAATTCAGAGTTCAGGTATGTTGTTTCAGTATTAGCTGTAGGTGAAGTAAGTAAGATTAATAATGAATAGGTTGGGCACTAAAATAAATTTAGATTGACAATTGCCATTTTCATCAGGACTAAATAGAGCAAATACATTATCATTCTAATATTGGAAGTGATGCCGATAGTAATGAAGGTTGAAGTATATTGATTTTACAATACCACTTAATCAGAAGTCTGTTATCATGAGGATAAACAAATTTCACATGTTAAAATTCTAAGTGGGATACTTAGTGAAGAGAGTCAAGTATTTTCTGAAGTGTACTTCACGTGAACTGATTTTCCCACTTAGGAGATGTAAGCTGCAGATTTTGAAAATGTTAGGTGGTATGACTGTAAATTGACTCCCTGTTGGGCTTTTTTTTTCATATGTAGTGGATGTCCAGATCATCTTTTAGGCTGATGAACAGCTTAAACCAGTGTAAGCCTCTACTGCTACTGAATTAGCTGTCCATTCAGCCTTTGCTGTCTCTTGCCCTGTCTCATTTTCTGTTGCAAATATTTCTTAGGCTCTATGCTAAACTAGATTGATAAAACAACTGGCAGAAAAATAATCCCTTCTGGGGTGGGAGGGGAGCTAATTTTCCCAGTCCATTTCACATTTTGGTTATGTAAGCACAGTGCCAATACTCAAAGGGGCAGGAAAAAACAAAGCAGGGAGGATGGGACAGCTTCATTTTGTGCCAGTACTGATTTTCTGTGGTTTCAAAGTGTCCAGCAAACTGCAAACTTACTTCCTTTTCCTGCAGCTTTATCTGATAGCACTGATTTTTGGTTTGTCTTTGATTTTTTTTATTGCTGTTTTTATTTGGGGAAATACACACTTCTTTATTTTCAAAATCAGTTAGTTCTTTGTCTCTCGCATGTGTAAAGGATTGTAACTGAATGTCTTCCGTCATATTTGGAAGAATAGAAAGGTTTTTTTAAACTGCTTGAGGAGGGGCAAGCCAAGAATCAAAGGCGGCTTCTTATTTGTTTTCTGAACTATTCATCACCTGCTTTCTCGTGAGAAGTAAGCAGATGTTTCATTATTCAATTGGTAGAAGAGAACGCTTAGCAGGCAATTTTCTTCTGATCGTGGTGTCTTCCAGTACTGTATGAAGAATTCTGGATTTGGAAGGCCATGCAAGTTTTAAGGCTGATGTGGTTAGCAGCAGACCTTTTCCCCTTAGCAACAGTTTTCTGTTCCTGTCCTTGGTAGAAATCACAGTGAAGCAGTTGAAACCTCAGCTAGTTCTTTTGGTCCTTTCTCACCTTGAGGTCCATTGTCAACACTATCGTCAATAGAAGCCTCAGATGAATTAGAATTAAATTTGTAATATAAAATTATGGTGTTCATGATACCAGCAATTTTATATTAAATGACTTGCTTAAGAGGAAAATAATTCAATTTTTATCCTTTGGGATGTTTTGTTGACCTCTCGTGTGTTTGAAGAACTTTTTTGTGAAAGGAATTGAAATAAATAGTTATCTTTTTGTTGGCTTCCAGATTAAGTAAAGTCTCATAAGTAAAATGTTTCTAAAAATCACTTATACAAACTCAAAATCTCATTTTATTTTCACTGCTTCAACAGTCATTGAAATTTTTAGTTCACTTTTTTGATAGGAATTCCATTGGTAACACAAAAGCTAACAGTTTTTAAATCTTTCCAGTGCTGGTAGGAAAAAGGCACAGAATTAGAGCACTACTTTTGTCAGAAAATTAAGCAGAGAATGCTAATTTTTATATATATATCTGTGTGGACTAGATATCAAAAGGCAATTACCATTTCTACGTAATTATTTAATTTGGGTACAAATTAAATACTTCGTCCTTTTTTTTAATATTGAATTGTTTTCTACATAGAGAGTTAAATTGTGCTTTTGTTTCTCATATGATTAGTCTTTTGTATGAGAAATGAGTTTGTCTCAGCAAATCTATGAGAATTTAGAGACTGTAATTTCTTTATTTCTGATTTGCATAGTTTTTTAGGACACAGACTTTCTTTTCCCTAGAAGGAAATTGACTAAGTATTGCTTCTGGAGAGAGCATCTGAAGAGCATCTTTGGCATGAATTACTTACCTGAGTTCATCTTTGGGGTGAATCACCTGCCAGCAACCTAAATTTAATTGATAAAACCTGGAAACGAAAGAAGGGAGGGAGGAATGAATGAAAACATGTTTGATAAACCAGGAAAGACGACTGCAACAGTGGGGCCTTTTTATTCAGCATACTCCTAAATGGTCTGGAAAAATTGGCAAATAACTGATAAGTGAGAGTGCCAAGTTGTTGTGGATAGTAAATGTAGGGTGGGGGACTGTTCTAGCTGTCTAATTTGTAGGGGACTTTCAGCTACTTATTCTTCTTGTTATTTAGGAGACAGATCTTCTATTCTAATAGCTAATTTTGAAAATATGTCATCATAATACCCAATAGTGATCAAAAAAATAAATCAAGTGTTAAATTATTGTGAAAGGAAGGGTCAGGAAAATAAAATATATTATTATGAACAACAGTCGGGATGATTAAAGGAACGGAATGGTTTTCATTCAGCTGGAAAGACTTTTCATTCTGGAAGAACACTGAAAATGTGGTGTAATGTAGATGGCTACAAAATGATGTACAGTATGCAAAAAAATGAGTAGGGACCAATATACATACTTTTGCAGTGCAAAAGGAGTCATAAAAAAAAAGTCAGCTGCCCACTTCAAAATGAACAAAGGTAACACTAGTTCATATGACAAGTGGTAGTACCAACTCTTTTCCCTCTTGGATACTATGAATCCAAAAGCTATAAGTACTTTAGGAAGTCTGAGCCACAGACAGCTGGATGCTGAGAAATTGTGCAAGGAAGGATCATTGTGTCCTTGTATAGTTTTCATACCGTGCATAGCTCTTGTCTTGTTAGAGAGAGCATTTTTGGCCAGCTGGACCTTTGATCTGATGTATTGTATTATGAAAGTACAAGACTATAGCAGAAGAATGTAAATTTTCATTGAAGTTGCTTAAAAGTGTAGGCTGGGAAAAGGAATTCAGAAGTTGGAGGGGCAGAATGTTAAAAACAGGCAGTCAAGGTCTGAAGGAAGATTTGAAGGTAGGAAGAAGGATCCTAATTGGTTTTCTACTGGGAACCTTCACTCTATCAATGGTATTTTTGGCATCACATACTGAGAAAATACTTAATTTAGTATGTAGCCTCTTTTTTATTCATAAAGGTGTTTTGTCTTTTTAAAAAATATAATCTAGTAGTTTGAAACAATTATTAAATTTTTTTTGTGGGAGAGATGTTCCAGCAGACTTTAATGATGTTGCCAGTTTATGGTACAGCTGCAGCTCTCAAGTGGTCTGGTTGCAGCTTAGTTGCATGTTCATTACCAGAGAGAACTAATTGGAATTCTGGTTGGAGAACTACCTTATGATCCGTATGTTGTTGCAATGGCTTATTCTATTTCCTTAGGCAGTGTGATAACGCTGCTCTGCGTTGCTTACATTTACAGTGTGTTACCTTAATAGTACCTGACAAAATGATCTTTACACAGGTCATTGTGATCTTCCTTAGTTAAAAATTGTAAACTGTTACCAAACTGGCAGTTCTCCATCTGCTATGGATTGTTCTAAATGACTATGCAAATGGAGTATAGCAGTGAGTATAGTCTTAAATACTGCTTATGGAAAGAATCATGGAGATTTTTCCCAAAGAAGAAAATGTACCTTTACATTTTCCAGTGTCAACACTGTCCTACATTGTCCTTCCATTTTTGGGGTGTCCTTACTTTTGGCTTTTCTTCCTTAAAAACAAGTGGAATTCTCACCTTTAATAAAAGTCTTATATTAACTATTTACACAGACACCCCTGTACCATATTTTAAGCAGAAAGTTGATTGTTAACAGTGATTGTAGATGGCTGGTTTTTTGAAAAAAATGCTAGAAATTGGCTATTTTCTGTTGCCAGGTGAGTGAAGCAGGTGTTCACAGACCACATGTGGGTGGAATCCATGGACGCAGTAATGATGGAGCTTATTCACTTGTATTAGCTGGAGGATTTGAAGACGAAGTGGTATGTCATTTATGCAAGCAACAGTTTTGCTGTTCTAATGTATTGATGTTTGTAAAGATAGACTTATGTTTGTTGTTGATCCTAAAACTAATGCTTATGCAAATATGACTGTGAAAAAAATAACTACTGCTGATAACCAATGGAATCGTTTTAGTCTTTTGGGGACAAATATGTAAGCAAATCTTTCTCAAAGAATGCTTATGTTCATACTTAAGCAGAATATGTCAGTTACAGCTGGATTTTACATTGTTTAGGGTAGTTAAATTTCAATACACTTTTGGAGTCTGAATTTAGTACTATTTAAAATCTGATAGTGTAATTATATGCAAATCATATGTCTTACATTCTGCTTTGCTTATGATTTTTATTGCTTTCAAGATGCCCCTTCATTTGTTTGTTGTGTGTCTAATTACACGATACATTTATTTTAATGAACCAAGAAGAAAAGGTACATGTTACTTGATTCTATGAAGTTCTGAAGGTTCTTGACTCCTACTGATGAGTACTTTCAGAACTTCTTAGGAAAATCTCAATATCTTGTATTATGATCCCCAAAGACACTGGAAAAAATTTCTACTTTGATGTTAACATCTAAGGAGAGCAACGACAGCAATTACACTGCTAAACAAAACAGTAACTGCGCCTGACTTTCATCTCATGATGATGACCAATATTTATTTATGAATAGATTACTGTTTTCTGCAATTAAATAATGTTCACACAGGGTACATCCCTTCCTGCAGTTCTGCTCCATCAGGTGGAATTTTGAATCATCCATCAGGTGCAGGATAAAGCAGACTCTTTTTTTTTTTTTTTTTTTGGATGGTGATACTGATGTCTCCTTATTTCTGCTGCTATAATTATTCAATTCAAAATACTTAATAAACTTAATTGGATCCTTTGCATGTCTTTTCCAGTTCGCCTAAATAAAGTTGTGATCATGTGTTTTTGTGGACACCCAAGTACTGTACTAGTCTTGATGACATATATAATTTTGAAAAGGCACACTTGGGGAGAAATATTGCAGAAGATATGGTAAAAAATTGTATGAATGTCAGCTTTTTTGCAATTCTCTAAACTAAGAATGGGGGATTTTTTTTTCCCAGATGCATTTTTGGAATTAGTTTTTCTTCAGTTTTTTTTATACCAGATTTTATTTCCGATTTTACTTCCATTTTCCCTGTTTGTTGGAAAAGGTTGAAATTAAACTCCTATAAGAATATCCACAGAAAAGTAAAATTCTGTACTTATAAATATCCTAAGTACAGTATCTCATTCCACAAATGAAACTTTTAAATAAAAATTCAGATAAAATCCTCTGCTCACATCTAGTCACTTTATTGTATGAGAACAAGAAAAGAGAGGTGACTCTTACTTGAATTTCAATGGTATGACAGAGGTACATGTGTATAAATTTTTACAAAATTGAGAAATAAATACATTTTGGAAGACTTTTACTGTGTGTTTATAAACTTCATGCACTATTTATGCACAGTGCTGACATGCCATCTTGATGCTCTTCTTGTGGCTTTAAATTAACAGTTCACTATTGGGGTAAAATAATTGCAAGAATATACTGCAGGAAACAGAATTCACTGTCTAGATTTCAGATCATGCTATTTTTATGTTGTGCCTTTGTAAACTTACAATCCTGCAGACCCAGACTTGTCTGGAACTTTGCTCAAGTTGGGATGTTCTGGATGTATTGGAGACCTCAGTAACAAGTTCAGTAACAAGTGTGGGATCTGCCCTCAAGGCTGAGAAGGGGTACATAGCTTACAAAATGAGCGCTGGATGAAATTGTTTTGCTCATGAAGCTTAACCTCATTCTTAATTACATGCATATAAAATGTTTGCACATTAATCTCTCTCTTGTAAATGTTTAACCTTGAATTTTAGTGACAAGTTACGTGGCTTACCTATTTCAGATACAGTATTACAATAGTTAGCTTTAGAGTCTTGAATATGTTAACATTGCTGATCTCCTGGTCTTGTTCTTGATAGTAACCGTAATAGGAACATTAGCTGAAGAAACTGAGAAGTCTTTCAGGAATTTAAAATCTAAGAATTATTTCAGAATAGACTAACATTTAAAAAGCATTTAAAATATAGATAACATTTAAAAACTAGATATTGGACATTAACAATGAGTGTGGAATCACAGTGACTTGTCTGTTCATCAAATCAAGTAGCTGAAGAAATTTCACTTTTGTGTTGAAAATTGCCTTCTGATTTTTTTTGTCATTGTTATTATGTATCAGGGTTAAAACGGATGTTTATTTTCAAAAATTTCAAAATCCATGTTTCTGCTGGGTTGAGGTAGTGTTGTAAAGATGGTAAATTAATTGTGTGGTGTGCTTAGTTTAATCTGAACAAAGACTGTTTCTTCTTTAAGTGCTTTTGCATATAGGATCATACGGGAAATCTCTGAACTGAGATTCAGAATCTCTTGGACAATAATACCTGCTGTGATCGTTCGCATCCCCTTATAAAAGATTCTGAGAGTATAAAAGAGAATAGCATCTCTAATGACTCAAAAGGGACCCCAGGCAAATACGCTTATTGCTTAGGTTCGTTGATATTTTATACCAAAACCATTCAATGCCTGGAACATAGCATTCACAAACCACTTCATGAAATGGCTTGCCATGCATTTTTAAATGTTCTGTGTCTTTGCATTAATCTTGTGTGTGAGTAATCAGTTCCAAGGTGTCAGTACATCTGCTATTCCACTTGTTTGAAGTAGTCTAGTTGCAAATGAACAGTGTTTAGCTCATTGGATTTGCCTGAGCCCTGTGATGAGGATATCAGTGTTTAAGAACCTCTGCGTAATGTGCATTGCACAGTGAAAGCACTTGATCAGTTCCCCCAGTGCCAAAGGTGCTGTACTAGTACTGTAGTGAATTGCATACTTAAATGGCTTTAAATCCAAATCAAGTGACAATAGGAGCCTCGTGTCTGAGTCAAAGTATTTTATATCCAAAGGCCATTGTGACTAGCCTTTTACCTAGATATGTGTGTATGAGCTACTGCTTTATTAACCACTTTGCTGGATTTACCTGGGTCATCTGAATTCAGTGTGAGCCCTGATACAAAGGAGGTATAGTATCCTGGATAAATTTTCTGAATTATCATGCCATGCTGACTACGTTACCAAGGAAATAGTTCCTTTCCGATTTTCCCACCTGTTTATAGTAGTGAAAATCCAACATAAGTAGTTCATCACAGCCATTACACTAAGAGTCTCTCTATTGTGAGTCACAGGGATTCAGTATATAGCTGAAAACCTGATGCTTGACGCCATGAAACTTGCTGTTTTCAAAAGCCATCATGTTTCTGAGGTCTAAGTGCCCTACTGGTTTGGGACCTGCTTGAAGCTCCAACGTAATGTGAAAAAAATTGAGTATCTCACTATACGATAGCTACCAAATATCTTTCTCTTCACTCGGATATGTTATTTGTCCATTCTTGTTACCTCCAGTACTACGGACATACTTGACATAATTTGTAGGTCAGTAGCTTTAATACTTACTTCTTATCAGCGTTTCAGATTTACAGGACAGCTCCTATTCTGCAACAGTCTTCTATCCATCTTTTCTGTTATTCTATATTGTCAAATGTCAGTCTATGCAAAATGCTAACTAATAGTAAAAAATACCTTTCTTGCATTATTTTCTGAATTTCATTGTCTCCTCTGTACCTGTATTATGTTCAGAATTACTTTCACATTCTGAAAAGCCATATTTTGTTACACATATGCCTTTTGTAATTTTTTTACTGCTAGTACTACATTTGCCAAAGTAGTCTTATCTGCCTATTTGTCAGCTTCTTTCATAATGGGCTGTGGAATCTGTGTCTATACTGCTCCTATCGGAGATTTTCCAAAGTTCATTTGCAGGAGTTTGCATATCTGGTTGTTTCTAGAGCATTGAGGAACCCATTTGACACCATGACAAAACAGATTAAAAAGTAGAAATTAATGTTACCAGTGCTTAGCAAAGCACCGTTTGGCGCTCTTTTTATATTTCATGCTTTCCAAGAAACATTCTGTGTGGAATAGTGCCTTAGATCAAAGACATAGGACTTGATTTCTATTTGTGAATGCCTAACATACTGAAATACCTTCTTTCTGAAATTCATGCATTTTCAAGAGACATTAGTCATATTCGTGTAATATATGGAGTATCATCAATCTATTCCCTTCATAAAATTGTGAAGGATCTGCATAATTATACTAATCTTTGTTGTGTCAAACTGTGAGTTACTTGGTGGACTTCATAGATTTTTCACATGAACACTTATAAAAATTAATTCTTATGATATTAAGTATTTATTTAAATACAGGATAAAAAGAAAGACGAAAGTAACAAATTCTAATTATATGTATGGAGATAAATGAACATCAAGTAGTAAGTGCATGTCTTTTAAACAGGCAAGATTTTTCTTGCCTTGCTTTAACTAGGATTATAGTAGGCTAATTAAATTACTCATAAAGATTGCAGGATTTTTTGACCTCAGAAAAACAATCTATCAGCAATCTCCAACAGATAGTCAAAGATAATTGTAATTAAAAAATGTTATCTCAGAAAACTGTTGTATCTGCTAAGTAATCTCCCACTACAGAGAAGTGTCTTTGATGTTAAAAGGCTTTCTGTGTCTCGTATGTTTGGTGAACATGGTTTGAAGTTGGAACTGATTTTGAACAGAGCAGAAGATAACGAATCCAGATTGGGTAGCCTGAATTGTTCATATATTAATGTTTAGTTTAAAGATCTGGTAATCCACCATTTTGGCACATGGAACATGGAAAGGAATAAGAAAAAACTCAGAAAGTAGTGCACAAACAGTAATTTTCTAGTACTTTCATTTGGGAGTTATTTTTCAAAATGTTATCCTACTTCCATCACCAGTTAGCTGCCTTCTGCTGTTTCCTGCTTTGAAGCTGTCTTACTTAATGTTCAGAGGTCCAGACTGGCTATCACTGAAATGGTTAAATATTTTAATTGTGTTGGAATATGCCATGATACTGTCAGGTTCTTGCTGTCAAGGACAGTTGCAGGGAAGACTCAGAAACACCAATTACGATATATTCAAGGTCTGCACTTAATGCAGTGGGTTTTTTATTGATTTATAAAGGAAATATGGAATTTAGCCCTTCCTTTTTAATTGGCATCTTTTACTGCAGTGCTAAACTGTGAAATTATCAAAAAAATAAATCAGAAAATTGGGCAGATAGACCAATTCTATCAGCATTTATATGCACACAGAGCTGTGAGACTTTAATGGAGATGAATGATGACATGATTCAGTTTCAGTTATCCTTACTACTA